GGCGTCTCCTACTGGTTCCCATGCACACCCTGCGACGGCCACCGATGCCCTCCTGCCTGGCACGGCGTTCCTCTACTGGTTCCCATGCACACCCTGCGACGGCCACCGATATCCTCCTCCTGCATGGCTGGTTCCCATGCACACCCTGCAATGGCCACCGATGCCCTCCTGCCTGGCACGGCGTTCCTCTACTGGTTCCCATGCACACCCTGCGACGGCCACCGATACCCTCCTGCCTGGCATGGCGTTCCTCTACTGGTTCCCATGCACACCCTGCAATGGCCACCGATGCAGTCCTCCGCTCGATTCGTCATCTCTCCCGCTCTGATCTGCAGCTGAGTCACCGACTTCAGGATGTATAATAGAGAGAGATATTGCTGCTCCCGCGGAAGGGAGCAGCAATATACACTCCTGCATAAACCCAGCAAAGCGATTAGCCTCAGGTGCTACAAAAAGATTAAACGAATCCTCCTACATAAGTTGTACCTGTTTATCTGTAGCCTTCTCTATTTCTGTTCAGAGTCCAAAATGTATACCGCTTGTCTGAGCTTTCAGAAGGTAGGAAGCTGAAGTTACACTAAGTGAGGGGAGCTCTGGGAGCTGATGGGAGGGAAGGGACATCCCCCTCCCCACACCACAATAGAGATGAGACTGTCAATCACAGGCTGTGTGCTGGTATCATAAGTGACACATGCAGATAGCAGAGGAAGGAGGCAGCAGACAGAACTGGCAGTTAGTGCTCTGGACTGAGACAAGTACACGCTATAGAGGGGTCTGCTTGGTTCATATTTCATGCCTGAGGCTGCCAACCACTGTAGAGTTTTGGATGGACTGGGTGAAGGATGGAAGCCCTGTCAGGTTTCACTGCTGTCTTCTGTCCCTTTTGGAGAGATGCTTTGATGACCTAAATTGATGGAAAATCAGTCAGAGGGCAAATCTTCCATTGGGGGACACTTCTTCCATGGACAGCTGGACTTTTCCCTTGCTTTTGAAGAAATTTCTTCTTACTTCCTCTTGTGTCAGGAAGTGACATAGCAAAGATAAATAAACCTACCAGTGTCACACGTACCAGTACCTCAAATGCCACCACCCGTCATGCCTGCTTTCCTCTACATCGGGCAAGTCTGGGCCCCCTGGATGTAAGCACTGTAGGTTCCCGTAGGGCCCAGTTCTGTAGATGTGTCTCTGCCACCCCCCCCCCCCCCCCCCCGCCTATTCACAAAATCTGAGGCTGTGTGTTTTGTAAATGTGCCTAAAAACTCAAGTAGATATCGGGGTAAAATTATTGAAAAAAAAAAATGCAGTACATATGAAGGGCTCTTTCACACTGACAGCCAGGGGCGGTAAAAAGTGGCAGCTGGGCTACAGGTTTGGAACTGTCCTCCGTCTCCCTTCCTCTCCTGGTCTAAATTGCATTATACATGTAGCGCTAACCCCGCAGGAGCTGCTGATTTTAACTGGTTCCTCCCCAAACCATGCAGAGGCTACCATTCACACAGGCAACAGTCCATTCACTGTGGCTACATAGAACAGTCTGGGGGAGGGGGATCTTTTTATGATTTATTGCTTTTAGAACGTTTAATAGGAGACGGGGTGGGATGGGTTACACCAGAAATGCTGACTTGTAACAGGAGCCCCCAGAAATGGTTTCAGACAAAGCGCTGGAGAGGACTGAACTGGCCAGCAATGAGTCCAGATCTCCATCCCATAGAGCTCCTGTGGAGAGATCTCAGAACATCAGTTGGGGAAAGGAACCTTCCAATCTGAGAGACCCGGAGCAGTTGGTGGAAGAAGAGCGATCCAAAATTCCATTAGAGAGGTGGAAGGGTCTCCATCAGAGGTCATGGGTCTTCCAGCAGGACAATGACCCAAAGCACACGTCACTAAGCCCCCAGAAATGGTGTCAGACAAAGCGCTGGAGAGGACTGAACTGGCCAGCAATGAGTCCAGATCTCCATCCCATAGAAATCCTGTGGAGAGATCTCAGAACATCAGTTGGGGAAAGGAACCTTCCAATCCGAGAGACCTGGAGCAGTTGGTGGAAGAAGAGCGATCCAAAATTCCAGTAGAGAGGTGGAAGAAACTCATTGATGGTGACAGGAAGCCATTGATTTCAGTTTTTTTCCAAGGGGTGTGCCACCAAATATTACATGGAGGGTGCCAATAATTTTGTCCGGCCCATTTTTGGGGTTTTGCGTGGAATGGGTCAGATTTGTCTTTTTGTTTCTCCATTTTTTTTTGTGTCACCGATACAAACCAAAGAAATAAACATGAGAATGCTGAAACATTTGTAATGTCAAAAATTTTCTGGGTGAAGTGGTGCGTTATCTGATGGAAATGCGGGGGGGGAAGGGGGGGCAAGATTTTTGGCCATGAAAGTCAATTTTTCTAGAAGGTAAGAGTTTTGTGGATTACGTCAGACCTCATATTTTCCCATATAATTGTTGTTTAAATAATGATCTCTGATCAGAAATATGTTATAAATATTGCAAAGTGGCACCCGCTGCCTTTGATGACCCACAAACCCCAGAAAGCTTTGGAAAAGGGTCCAGTTGACTTGTCCATGAGCTGCACACCAAAAACATTCAACTCCAGCAACGGTTTATTGCAGTGACACCATAGCGCCCACTCCCACCTAAACCCATTCCCCCCCCAGTATGGTTTACCCACAGCAGGGCTCAGTCATGGGGATCCCCCAAGATTAAGCCCTGCTGTGGATGAACCATGTTGGGGAGATGGCATAGACACAGCCGCTGCTCCATGATGTCACATTCGGTGCAGCATCAGTCTAAAGCAAGGGTCTCCAAACAAAGAGCCAGTTTACTGTCCTTCAGGATTTTGGGGGGCTGGACATTAGGAGTAGAAAATGTTTTGGCTTCATATGGAGTAAACAGTGCCCCATCTTTGGTATCAGTGGGAGGAATAGTGCCCCATCTTTGGTATCAGTGGGTGGAATAGTGCCCCATCATTGGTGTCAGTGGGAGGAATAGTGCTCCATCATTGGTGTCAGTGGGAGGAATAGTGCCCCATCATTGGTGTCAGTGGGAGGAATAGTGCCCCATCATTGGTATCAGTGGGAGGAATAGTGCCCCATTATTGGTATCAGTGGGAGGAATAGTGCCCCGTCACTGGTGTCAGTGGGAGGAATAGTGCCCCATCTTTGGTATCAGTGGAAGGAATAGTGCCCCATCATTGGTGTCAGTGGGAGGAATAGTGCCCCATTGGTGTCAGTGGGAGGAATAGTGTCCATCATTGGTGTCAGTGGGAGGAATAGTGCCCCATCTTTGGTATCAGTGGAAGGAATAGTGCTCCATCATTTGTGTCAGTGGGAGGAATAGTGCCCCATCATTGGTGTCAGTGGGAGGAATAGTGTCCATCATTGGTGTCAGTGAGAGGAATAGTGCCCCATCATTGGTGTCAGTGGGAGGAATAGTGCCCCATCATTGGTGTCAGTGGGAGGAATAGTGCCCCGTCAGTGGAGGAAATAGTGCCCCTTCATTGGTGTCAGTGGGAGGAATAGTGCCCCATCTTTGGTATCAGTGGAAGGAATAGTGTCCCATCATTGGTGTCAGTGGGAGGAATAGTGCCCCATCATTGGTGTCAGTGGGAGGAATAGTGCCCCATCATTGGTATCAGTGGGAGGAATAGTGCCCCATCATTGGTGTCAGTGGGAGGAATAGTGCCCCATCATTGGTGTCAGTGGGAGGAATAGTGCCCCATTATTGGTGTCAGTGGGAGGAATAGTGCCCCATCATTGGTATCAGTGGAAGGAATAGTGCCCCATCATTGGTGTCAGTGGGACAAATAGCACCCCATCCGTTGGTGTCCGTTGGAGGAATAGCGCCCCATCGTTGGTTTTGATGGGTGGAATAGCACCCTATTGTTGGGTCAGTGGAAGGAATAGTGCCCTATTATTGGTGTCGGTGGGAGGAATAGCACTCCAGTGTTGCTATCAGGGGGAGAAATTGCACCCTATCTTTGGGGTCAGTGGGAGGCATAGCACCCCTTCGTTGGTGTTTATGGCAGGAATTCGGAATAGTTCCCTGTCAGTGGGAGGAATGCGCCCCATTGTTGGTGTCGGTGGGAGGAATGCGGCCCATTGTTGGTGTCAGTGGGAGGAATAGTGCCCCATCATTGGTGTCAGTGGGAGGAATAGTCCCCCATCATTGGTGTCAGTGGGAGGAATAGTCCCCCATCATTGGTGTCAGTAGGAGAAATAGTGTCCTTCATTGGTGTCAGTGGGAGGAATAGTGGCCCATTTTTGTCCGTGGGAGGAATAGCACCCCATTGTTGGTGTCCATGGAAGGAATAATTGCTCATTGTTGGTGTCATTTGGGGGGAAAAGTGTCTCTTTTTCAGAGGGAAGAATAGTGCCCCAAGAGACAAATAAAGAATAAGCAAAGGGCCTCATCCAGCCCCCAAGTCGCAGTTTGGAGACCACTGGTCCAAGGCCTTGTACACCCAAGCGAGGACGGTCTTTACCCAGGTGCCTCATCCCCATGTGTACAGCCCCATTTTTGTCATTTGGGGCGCAGCGCCTGCACAGACACAGCCGCCGCTCCCAATTGGACAACCCTGTGGGTGTGTGTGCGGGGGCGGGTCCCCAGGCGCACATCGTCTGTGTTCCGGGACCGCCACAATGGGGAGCAGTTGCTGTGTCTGTGGGGAACACGGGTAAACACGGCCCTTACATGGGCATTCCTTGTACTCCACCCCATCTGGAAGGGCTTTGCGTTCACTTTTGATCATTTCGGACCAACGTCCGGAGAATGATGATAAAAACGATTCTGCATTTTTCCCTGCGAGCGCAGGAATGGGTGATGCTTCTCTCTCTCTTGTATCCACACAGCTCTCTCATGGACGAATTGGTGCCTCACGGGGTCCTGTCTCCTCGGCCTGGCCCTTATTATCTGCCTGAGGGAAGCCCCCGACAAACAGACTCACCCCAAGTACGCCATGTGAATGTCCTCCATGACTCAATGTTGTCTTTTCATTTCCAGACTTGTCCTGGCTGAACTGGTGCCTGACGGGATCTTGCTTGCTCAGCTTGTTTTTTATTGTGTGCTTCAGGGAATCCTACGATAGACTCTACCTAGACGTCTTTATTTCTGTCTAATGGCCCCGGCCGGGCCCAACCCTCGGAATCTTTGCACAAAACGGGACCGTAGCCATGGACGGAGCCCAAGCTGCACTAACAAAGGACTGTCTCGTCCTTCACGCCTGGAAACTTGGAACTTTTTGTTTTTCTTTTTGTCGTCTCTTCTGGAATATGTTAATAAAAATGAACGTTTTTTTTGTAATCTTTTAATGAAGAATGGAGAGGAACTCTTTTATATTTGACATTCGGAGCGGTTTATGATTCGCTGGCACCTTGTTTCGGTGTCCCCGCCCGCTCCGTAGTGGCAGAGGGAACCTTTTACAGGACTTGTGGATTGACGTGTCCCTGTCGCCTGTACGAAGGGGCGCCATCTTGGAAACTGAAAATGTAGCTGTACATTGGGATGAAGTGCGGTCTCTATGGCTCGAGGTATGAAAATCATTGGCTATGGGCTGTATAGGATGATGTTCCCAGGCCCGGATTCCGGTCACCCGTATGAAAGAATCAGGCGGGAGCTCATTCTACACTCCATGTGCTGCACCAAGCCAAAGGAAGCATTCAAATGCTGGTAACTTTATTCAATCCGGACAACAGCAGCAGAAAGTGCCTGCCTGGGTCCTACTCCTCGGATGCCTCTCGCCCACAAGGTTGGGCTTCTACAGTTAAAGTGGAACTAATGCCGGCCATAGACGGTTCGTTTGTCGGCCAAAAAACGGTCGTTCTGTTGCCACCAATGCTTACGAAAATCGGCCATTTTTGGTAGATTTTCCAACGTGACCGATAAAAGAAACGAGGAGGAACCATGAAAATTGGCCGACGACTCTGCCCCACTAACGGTGCGAATATCAGCCGATTTGTTCTTTCGGACGAAAATTTGGTCGATAATCCGTCTATGGCCTGCAGAAAGGTGCCTACTTGCTTCGGATGTAATTTTGTTGCCATCCAGTAAATTTTAAGCGGAGTTCCGCTCACCTGTCAAAAAAAAAAAGTCAACAGCTACAAAAACTGCAGTTGCTGACTTTTAAAAAAAAAAAAAGCAGCAGCCACTTACCTGTCCCTCGGTGTCCCCCCCCCCCAGCCCGATTCACCGGGCGTCCTGGATTCCAGGAGGCCGGCATCTTCGGTGTGGGCACCCAGCTGTGACAGCTTGCGGCTTCACAGCCGGGTGCCCACTGCGCATGTGTGAGTAGCGCTGCGCTTCATGAATGGTCCTGTAGTCTTCTGGGACCTGTCATGTGTCCCAAAATACTACAGGGAGGGAGGACACTTTCGTTTCCGATCGCCTAGGCCAGGGGTAGGCTACCTGAGAGCCGCAGGACTACAAGTTCCATCATGCCTCTGCAGGTCGTAGCTGTAACTGTCAGTTTTGTAATCTTTGCAATGCCTCATGGGAAATATAGTTCCACGACAGCTAGAGAGCCGCAGGTTGCCTACCCCTGGCCTAGGCGATCGGCCCGGAAGTGGGAGCAGGTACCTGTCAAATTTGGGTACCCGCCCCCCAAAGGTGCCAATCCTTAATAGGGAGCGAGGGAGCAGTCCTTAAAGCGGAACTTCCCCTTTTTGGGTGGAGCTCCGCTTTAACACCTTCCCGCCCGGCCTATAGCAGATTGACGGCTGGACGGGACACTCGCAGTTGTGAGTCCTGTCAAAACGAGCTGCGGGGCGATCGGTCACTGACTGTGTCCACGGGACACACCCGGTGACAGATCACTACACCGACCTGTTGCCAGTGTCATGTGACTGCTGAGACCAATCACAGCAGATCACATGTCAATTGTATACAATAGATAGCTTCGTGTCACGCCATCCATTGTATACAATGATGTTGTTAGCTGTGACAGGTCAAAGCAGTCACATGATACAGACAGGACCAATCACAGCAAATTACGTCAGTTGTATGCAATGGATGGCTTCCTGCTATGCCATCCATTGTATACAATGATGTTGTTAGCTGTGACCGGTCAAGGCAGTCACATGATACAGACCGGGCCAATCACAGCAGATCACGTGTCCATTGTATACAATGATGTTGTTAGCTGTGACCGGTCAAGGCAGTCACATGATACAGACCGGGCCAATCACAGCAGATCACGTGTCCATTGTATACAATGATGTTGTTAGCTGTGACAAGGCAGTCACATGATACAGACCGGGGCCAATCACAGCAGATCACGTGTCCATTGTATACAATGATGTTGTTAGCTGTGACCAATCACATGATACAGACAGGGCCAATCACAGCAGATCACATGTCCCATTGTATACAATTATGTTGTTAGCTGTGACAGGTCAAAGCAGTCACATGATACAGACAGGGCCAATCACAGCCCATCTGTATCATGTGATCAGCTTTGCCCAATCACAGCTAATCACAACAAAAGACTGAATGAATCCGTTTCATTCAGTAACAATGATTGCAAAATATCAATGAAATACATCGGTATTAGCAATCATAATGTGTTAAAAAAAGAAAAAATCCTGACCCTCAAGGGGCGTACAATCTAAGGTTCCTAACTTACATCCATACATACACATACTGGGGCCAATTTAGACAGGAGCCAATTAACCTACCAGCATGGGAGGAAACTGGAGTACCTGGAGGAAACCCACGCAGGCACAGGGAGAACATGCAAACTCCAGGCAGGTGGTATCTTGGATGGAATATTCCCTTTTAGTTCCAGCCATGTGGGTGAAACACGTCACCAAGGTGAGGACTCTCTGTTCATGTTGTCCAGATGAATAAAGTTACCATCATTTGAAAGTTTCAGAGCGCAGCCGGTCTTTTCTGTTTTTTATTGGATTGATTGATGTTATTCCAGTTCACAAATTGTTGTGGTCAGGCACTGTTAGGGTGGCGGCTGTTATGCGCACAGTCTTTTCAAGGGGACATCATGGAATTCACCAGTATGGTGGCGTGGTGCCCCCTCTGCAGTTCACAGGAGGGATGTCCCTACTGGACGGAACTGCATGTTCGGTAATGGCCAGTTTGGTAAAATGTCTGTTCTGTCTGGCCCTCCGGGTCTAATTGCATCCCAGCAAGTTGGGCTGTGGAGACCAGAAGACATTTTATATAAAGTAGTTGTAGCTCAGGGTTAACATATGTGTAGGCATGTGATTCGCATGGGAACTGCGCCGCAATCACGTGCGATTTGTGCGCGGTGCGATCGGAGCCGTACGTTTTGTATGGCTCTATTCACACCAAAAAGGCGCAGGACCCTTTTTTTGGGTCCACACTAGAATCGGATCGCACGGGTACTCGCACCTATGAGATCCGATTCTGCACATCGCACCGCGTTTTGCGGACCGCTTTTGGGGTGTTGACATACACACCCCCAACGGTTCGTATGAACGGGGTGCGATTCTGATGCGGTGCGGAATTCACACCTATGCGATCCGATTCTGCACATCGCACCACTTTCAGGGTGTTGTTCACATACACACCCGCAGCGGTTCACACAAATGGGGTGCGATTCTGATGCGGTGCGGAATTTGCATTGAAACCGCCGTGAATTCCGCACCGCATCAGTGTGAACCCGGGCTAACATATCGCCTGTATTAAACCCCCCACTCTGGAGGAAGGAGCACAGGATTTTGCGGACCACTTTTGGGTGTTGACATACACACCCACAACGGTTCACACGAATGGGGTGCGATTCTGATGCAGTGCGGAATTCACATCTATGCGTTCCGATTCTGCACATCGCACCACTTTCGGGGTGTTGTTCACATACACACCCGCAGCGGTTCGCACAATCGGGGTGCGATTCTGATGCGGTGCGGAATTTGCATTGAAACGGCCGTGAATTCCGCACCGCAACAGTGTGAACCTGGGCTTGCGAACCTCCTGTATTAAATCCCCCCCCACTCTGGAGGAAGGAGCAAAGGATTTTGCGGACTGCTTTCAGGGTGTTGTTGATATACACACCCGCAGCAGTTCGCATGAACGGGGTGCGATTCTGATGCGGTGCGGAATTCACACCTGTGCGATACGATTACTTCCTGTACACTCCTCCCATTTGGTGGCCTTGATGATCCTACAGCCTGTGTCATAAAGGGATTATTAGGATAGCGATCAGGACATTTGGCCCCGTTTTTACTTCTCCACTTCCAGTGATTTGTAGCAATGTAAGCCTATTCACTAACCTCACCACAGTTGTCTTATTCATACTAATTGAACCCTGAGACGTGTGTTCGGGTAAAACTCTTCTGTTAAAAAAAAAAAAAAAAAAAAAAAAAAGGCGCCTCCTTCAGCTTCTCTCACCAAAATGTATGCTTGCCTCTCCAGGGGCCAGGTCCCTGCTCTGCAGTGGTGATTGTGTGACTGTAAACCCTCCCTCCCCCCTTCCCGGGTGATCCCTCATTCCTCCCGTGCATGTGTGGGAAAAGTCCTGTTTATTCCTTTAGAGAGGCCGCCCGTTGGCGGGAGGCGTGATCAAGGCACGGGAATTTCTCCACGCATGCACAGAAGTGATGGATCGGAGGGGTAGTTTACCGCTGCAGATGGTCTCGCAGGGACGAGGACAGGTCACTTTAAAACTTTGAGGGAGAAAGGGGGGGCGCCAACTAAGTGTAGCATTAAAATCATCCGCTTTATTAAAATGCAGCTTGCGGGGTTGTCAGATCAAAGGCAAATCTCCACAAGAACGCCTCTCAGTTCTGCTGATGTCACATCCTCCTCGTATCACATCCTGCTGATGTCTCATCCTCCTCGTGTCACATCCTGCTCGTGTCTCGTCCTGCTCGTGTCTCGTCCTCCTCGTGTCACGTCCTGCTCGTGTCACGTCCTGCTGGTGTCTCGACCTCCCTCGTGTCACGTCCTCCTCGTGTCACGTCCTGCTGTGTCTCGTCCCTCCTCGTGTCACGTCCTCCTCGTGTCACGTCCTGCTCGTGTCACGTCCTGCTCGTGTCACGTCCTGCTCGTGTCTCGTCCTGCTCGTGTCTCGTCCTCCTCTGTCACGTCCTGCTCGTGTCTCGTCCTGCTCGTGTCTCGTCCTCCTCAGTGTCAAGTCCTGCTCGTGTCTCGTCCTCCTCGTGTCTCGTCCTCCTCGTGTCTCGTCCTCGTGTCTCTCGTCCTCCCTCGTGTCTCGTCCTGCTCGTGCAGCCACCAAGCTCCGTGCGTAAGGCTCGGTAACAACTCTAGGAGCGAGCTTACTGGTTGGCAGCGTCCCTCTATAGCAGCGGTCACCAAATGGCGGAGCGCGGTCCGAGAACGGCCCCAACAGCGCTTCCTTCTGGACCGCCAGTTCGTGATCACAGATCCACCGCTGAGCAGGGCGGTCCGTCACGGCAAACAAAATGACATCAGCTGTGCACTCCACCCTTTGCAGCTCACCGTTCCCACTCCCTGCCTGGAGACAAGCGTCCTTCAGCAAGGATCCCGGCACAGCTCCTGTCTGCCCTCAGGTAGGGTGTGGTCTTGCAGGGGCACTCTGATGGGCTAGTTTCATGTTAAGGGGCACCCTGATGGGCCACAGCATAGAAGTACCCATCGGAGTGCCCCTTAACATGAAACGTGCCCATCAGTGTGACCCTTCATATAAATGTGCCCATAAGTGCCCCTTATGTTAAGAGGCCACTCTGATGGGCATTAAGTGTAGAGGGGCACCCGATGGGCATTAAGTGTAGAGGGGCACTCCGATGGGCATTAAAGTGTAGAGGGGCACTCCGATGGGCATATAGTGTAGAGGGGCACTCCGATGGGCATATCTTGTTGAGTGGCATCTTATGTTTAAGGGGGCACTCTGATGGGCATCTTTTATTAATGGGCACTCTGAGGGGCATCTTATGTTAAGGGGCACATTGATGGGCATCATATGTTAAGGGGGGCACTCTGGGCATCTCATGTTAAGGGGGGCACTCTGGGCATCTCATGTTAAGGGGCGCACTCTGGGCATCTCATGTTAAGGGGCACACTCTGGGCATCTCATGTTAAGGGGCACTCTGATGGGCATCTTTTGTTAAGGGGGCACTCTGAGGAGCATCTTATATTAATGGGCACTCTGATGGGCATCTTATGTTGAGGTGGCACTCTGATGGGCATCGTCTGTTAAGGGGGCACAAATGGGCACATACTGTGGAAAGGGGCACTCTGATGGGGAAATATGATGAAAGGGATACATTGAGTGTAAGGGGGCACTCTGACGGGACTACCTGATGTAAGGTGGTAATGTGATGGGCACACATGATGGGATGGGGACACCTGATGTAAGGGGGCACGCTGATGGGCACACCTGATGTAAAGGGGCACTCTGATGGGGATACCTGATGTAAAGGGGCACTCTGATGGGGATACCTGATGTAAAGGGGCACTCTGATGGGGATACCTGATGTAAAGGGGCACTCTGATGTTCACACCTGATGTAAGGAGGCACACTGATGGAATGGGGGCACCTGATGTAAAGTTGCACTCCTGATGGGGACACCTGATGTAAGGGGGGCACACTGATGGGCACACCTGATGTATGGGGCACACTGATGGGCACACCTGATGTATGGGGGCACACTGATGGGCACACCTGATGTATGGGGGCACACTGATGGGCACACCCGATTTGGACTTCGGCCAGAAGAGAAATTTGAGTGAGCGGACCTCCTTGACTTTGAATTCCATACCCCGTGTATAGTATAGACTTAGGACTAAAACCCTCAGGGATGGGGCCCTACAGGAGAAAACAAGCAGAAAGTGAACAGCATTGCAAAAAAAAGTGGAGTAGAACGCTCAGGAAGACTGGAAAAGGAAACAGGAAGTGCCAGTAACCACACTGGAGTGCACGGGGGATCAGCTGCGGAAGTGACATCATTTTCCTGTGGGCATGGCTACGCGTTTCAGATCTTCCCGCTCTTTCTCCAGGATCAGGACTGACCGCGGTGTCCTGGTGGAGATGTGCCTTCCCTCTGTGGAGTTGCCAATTGCAGTGGGGGATTTTAACACTGCACTTAGGGGGCGCCCCCTTTCCCCCCTTTTTTTCCCCCATTACAGAAGCTGCTTTCTCCTCTGGGGTGGCTTCCCTGAGTGAGCTGCTCGCCCTCATTTGTTTGGACAGGGGAGTGGCCTGGGCTTTGGGGCTGTAAAAGCGGCCACGCCCCCAGGCCTCCTGCAAGGCACCCCAAAGGCGGAAAGGCCGTGCAGAAAAAATTGGGTGGACCGATTTTGCGGAAATGACGTCCAGCGCAGATGTAGGACAGCGAGGGGGGAAAGTCGATGACATATGCTGCTAGATTTAATTACCTGATAAATATGGATGCAGAAGGATCCTGTGAAGGGCGCGTTCCATCGTGACCCCTCCTTCTGAAATGCAATCGTTTTCAAAGTAAACGTTGTCATAGCATTAAGCCGGCCATACACGGGTCAGATTCCGCACGATTTTCCATCCAAAAATCGAAAGCGCTCGGTAATCCGATGGCGCCATCAATGATTTCGAAAATCGGCCGACCGAGTCATAAAGTTCCCCCCATATAACAGGCGAATCTTCTGTTCCTTCCAGGTCACGGCTCATGGCGCAGATTCTTTTCAGGAAAACCGATCGTACGATTTGACTATCATGGAGTCGAAAATCGGTCATTTTTTACGAATTTTCCAACATGCCCGATCACCGAAAAGGGGAGGAACCACGAAAATTGGCCGGTACCATTGACCCCACTAACAGATCGAAAATCGGCCGATTATTCTTAGGTCCGATTTTCAGACAAAAAATCGTTCAGAATTCGACCCGTGTATGGCCGGCATAAGGTGGTAATTAAACTCACCGAGTGCCTAATGCCGGCCATACAAGGGTCGAATTCCGAACGATTTTTCGTCCGAAAATCGGAAACATCGTTCGCTCAGTAATCTGACGGTGCCATCATGGCGCAGATTCTTTTCGGAAAAACGATCATACGATTTGACCATCATTGAGTTGAAAATCAGGTCGTTTTTTACGACTTTTCCAACATGGCTGATCAGCGAAAAGGGGAGGAGCCAGGAAAATTGGCCGGTGCCATTGACCCCACTAACAGAGCGAAAAGCGTCCGATAATTGGACGAAAAATCGGTCGCATTTTGACCCATGTATGGCCGGCTTAAATCTTTCTTTCTGGGGAAGCTTCTTGCAGACGATAGAACAACAGCTAGGGGGCGCCACACACAATTCCTCGTTCTGTTACAAATGATCGTTTACGCTGTGAGAAATCGTTTATTGTGCGAGGACTACAAGTACCAGCATGCCGCCCGTCTGATGGTCACAGATCATTCTTCACCTTTCTGGCATTATGGGAATTGGAAAGTGTGGAAGCGAAAATAAATCCCGATTGTGGGACTTCGTTACTGTTGTATCTGTTCAGGCTCTTGAGTTATCCGTAGTAAACCTCCCCCCGTGGAATATCAGATCTACCCGAGGATGCAGAATTCTACCCCAATGACGTCGGCCTGTGTGTGACAAACAGATGGATCGGCTGCAATCCAATGACAACGCGTGGCTGAGCTCTCCAGACTTTCTAAGCAAAGGGCCAGTTTACGGGATGGAATAATGTCCCCGTCATTGGTGTCGTGGGAGGAATGGGAATGGTGGGAGGGAATGTCCCGTTGGTGTCGGTGGGAGGAATGGTGTCCCGTCGTGTGGGTGGGAGGAATGGTGTCCCGTCGGTGGTGTCCGAATGGTGTCCCCGTCGTTGGTGTCGGTGGGAGGAATGGTGCCCCGTCGTTGGTGTCACTGGGAGGAATGGTGCCCCGTCGTTGGTGTCGGTGGGAGGAATGTGCCCCGTCGTTGGTGTCGGTGGGAGGAATAGTGCCCCGTCATTGGTGTCGGTGGGGGAGGAATAGTGCCCCGCCATTGGTGTCGGTGGGAGGAATAGTGCCCCGCCATTGGTGTCGGTGGGAGGAATAGTGTCCCGTCATTGGTGTCGGTGGGAGGAATAGTGCCCCGCCATTGGTGTCGGTGGGAGGAATAGTGTCCCGTCATTGGTGTCGGTGGGAGGAATAGTGCCCCGTCATTGGTGTCGGTGGGAGGAATAGAGCCCTGTCGTTGCTATCGGTGGGAGGAATAGTGTCCCATCATTGGTGTCAGTGGGAGGAATAGTGCCCCGTCGTTGGTGTCAGTGGGAGGAATAGTGCCCCGTCGTTGGTGTCAGTGGGAGGAATGGTGTCGGTGGGTGGAATGGTGTCCCGTCGTTGGTGTCGGTGGGGGAATGGTGCCCCGTCGTTGGTGTCGGTGGGAGGAATGGTGCCCCGTCGTTGGTGTCGGTGGGAGGAATGGTGCCCCGTCGTTGGTGTCGGTGGGAGGAATGGTGCCCCGTCGGTGGTGTCGGTGGGAGGAATGGCGCCCCGTCATTGGTGTCAGTGGGAGGAATAGTGCCCCGTCGTTGGTGTCAGTGGGAGGAATGGTGGGGAGGAATGGCGCCCCGTTGGTGGGTGGGAGGAATGGCGCCCCGTCGTTGGTGTCGGTGGGAGGAATGGCGCCCCGTCGTTGGTGTCGGTGGGAGGAATGGCGCCCCGTCGTTGGTGTCGGTGGGAGGAATGGCGCCCCGTCGTTGGTGTCGGTGGGAGGAATGGCGCCCCGTCGTTGGTGCCGGTGGGAGGAATGGCGCCCCGTCGTTGGTGCCGGTGGGAGGAATGGCGCCCCGTCGTTGGTGCCGGTGGGAGGAACGGCGCCCCGTCGTTGGTGTCACTGAGAGGAATGGCGCCCCGTCGTTGGTGTCACTGGGAGGAATGGCGCCCCATCGTTGGTGTCAGGGGGGAGAATAGTACCCTACTGTCGGTGTCAGTGGAAGGATTAGTGTCAGCAGGAGGAGAAGTGCTTCATAGTGGAAGGAACAATGCTCCAAGGGCCAGATAAATGCACTCGGAGGGCCCCTACCTGGCAAGGCTTTATTCTGACACCGCAGTCCACACACACTGACACGTTTCACCCGGAGGAGGCTTCATGGTATCTCAGAAGCTGGCCATACATTGATTTTCCATTCAGCCCCCCACATCGAACCTTCTGCTGTGGCATTTGTATTTTGACAGATGACCCGAGCAATGCCTGCATCCGATTGGACGTAAGCCCTGTTTGGCCCAACAGTCTTCTTCCCGCCTCTACAATAGAGGGGTGTGGAGAGGGCCAATAGGGCCACCCCCTGAGGGTCTTTAGGCCAGTTCATGGGGAAGATGAGGAGGAGGGGGGGGCCTGGGCGGGCCTTCTGACTTCTTGTCTGGAACAATAAAGCTTTACCAAACGCTGTTGTCCTTGGCCTGTGGCCGGTTTGCTATACATGGATTCACGGAATACAAAACATTCTGTGATTGGACAATTGGAAGGAGGGGGCGGGCCAACAAGTTCCTCTTTAATTGGTCCCTTCAAGGAAAAAAACTTTATCAATCAAACCCCCCCCCCCCCCCCCCCCATGCTGCTATTGCTTCCATTGATGAATGATGTTTTCTCATCTCTGTACAGAACCGTGAAACTGTCAACGATTCTCAATAAAGTTTTGAACTGTTTGTTTTCTTTCTTAACTTGCTCACTGCTGGTGAAGTGTCGGTTAATCTTTTTTTATAGCGATTGTTTTTCATTTTATTGTAAAATAAATGTTTTAAAATATTCCGTGTCTTTCTTACATTTTATTTTTAGGTTTGCCGATGTGAATCGGTCTGTCTTTATTTATTATTTTTTTTTGGTTTTTTATTTATTTATTTTTTTTTTACTTTTTTAATTTTTTAATATTTTTAATTTTTTTGTAATATTTAATTAAACATTTTTTCCATTAGAAAAATACAGCAAAGTATCCTTTACCACCAAAAGACAAACATTCCCCTAAGTCAGGGGTCTGCAACCTTTAAGACATAAAGAGCCACTTGGACCCGTTTCCGAGAGGGAAAAAAAAGACTGGGAGCCGCAAAACCATTGCAACATTTAAAACAAATCCGACACTGCATATATTTGCAAAAAGCGCTCTGGTCATGAAGGGGGGTTTAAGGGCCCAGTAAGCAAAGGGTTAATCAGGGCCACAGTGTATCGTCATAATCACAATCATAGCCTTAGGTCAGTGGTGGGCAACCTTTTTTTTCGACTGAGCCAAATCTCGCCAAAACCACGATTGAAATTTATTTTGAGAGAAACATTTTAAAACTGAAAATACATCCCCCATATAGTAATTCATCCCCCATATAATAATTCATCCCCATAGTAATTTCATCCCCCATATAGTAATTCATCCCCCATAGTAATTCATCCCCCCTATAGTAATTCATCCCCATATAGTAATTCATCCCCCCTATAGTAATTCATCCCCCATATAGTAATTCATCCCCATATAGTAATTCATCCCCCTATAGTAATTCATCCCCCATATAGTAATTCATCCCCCGTAGTAATTCATCCCCCATATAGTAATTCATCCCCCTATAGTATTTCATCCCCCATAGTAATTCATCCCCCATATAGTAATTCATCCCCCATAGTAATTCATCCCCCATATAGTAATTCATCCCCCATATAGTAATTCATCCCCCTATAGTATTTCATCCCCCATAGTAATTCATCCCCCATATAGTAATTCATCCCCCATAGTAATTCATCCCCCATATAGTAATTCATCCCCCGTAGTAATTCATCCCCATATAGTAATTCATCCCCCTATAGTATTTCATCCCCCATAGTAATTCCCCCATATAGTAATTCATCCCCCGTAGTATTTTCATCCCCCATATAGTAATTCATCCCCCTATAGTATTTCATCCCCCATAGTAATTCATCCCCCCTATAGTAATTCATCCCCCGTAGTAATTCATCCCCCCCATATAGTAATTCATCCCCCCTATAGTAATCATTCCCCATATTGTGTGAATTCACTTACCTTTGCTCCGCGCGTTCCTCTCGCTGGGTTCCCGCGCCGTTCTGGTCTTCAGGGCGGACTGTGAGAGGAGAGGAGTTCGTCACGCTGCCCCGCCTACATCCGGGCTGCCCCGCCTACATCCTGACAGCCAATGTTTGCCAGCGGGCGCCCGGCACACAGAAGAGCTGCATTAAAAGAGCCGCGGCTTGCCGACCCTATTGCCTGTCACCTGGTGGGCAGTGTGCTCCGGAGCCGCAGGAAAGGTGAAAAAGAGCCGCATGCGGCTCCGGAGCCGCGGGTTGCCGACACCCGCCCTAAGTGATCCGGTCTTTAAATGTACCGCACGGCGGTGACCAGTGTCCGCGGCTGCAATAAACTTTATTGAAACAACCGCATGGCAGTTTTCACATTGTTATTCCCACCAGACATGACCCTTCCTCAGGCCCCATTTGGGTGATTTATAGGTGGAACCTCCAAAACGCGTGAAAAGAAAAAAAAAAAAACGATTATTCTCAATGGAGATGGTTCACACTTCCACTCTAAATTGCCTGAAGCAACAAGTTTTTGTTTTTTTTTTGTCACTCAAATGGGGCAGATTTGTGCTTTTTGTTTTTTTTGGAGCGTTTTTTTTTTTTCTGTTCAAATGAAAAAAAATAAATAAAAATAATGAATAAAATGATAATAAATGAATAAAGAAATGTTAAATAAAATAAATACACAAATAAAAATAATCATAAATAATATGAGGTACGGGGGGTGGGGGGGTTAATAAATAACTCCTATACCTCCTAGAAATGTTAAATAAAATAAATACACAAATAAAAATAATATGAGGTATAGGGGTTAAAAAGTAACTCCTAAACCTCACAGAAATGTTAAATAAAATAAATACACAAATAAAAATAATCATAAATAATATGAGGTATATGGGGGGGTTAAAAAATAACTCCTAAACCTCATAGAAATGTTAAATAAAATAAATACACAAATAAAAATAAATAATATGAGGTATGGGGGGGGGGTTAATAAATAACCCCTATACCTCATAGAAATACCTCATAGAAATGTTAAATAAAATAAATACACAAATAAAAATAATCATAAATAATATGAGGTATAGGGGTTAAAATGTAACTCCTAAACCTCACAGAAATGTTAAATAAAATAAATACACAAATAAAAATAATCATAAATAATATGAGGTATATGGGGGGTTAATAAATAACCCCTATACCTCCTAAAAATGTTAAATAAAATAAATACACAAATAAAATAATATGAGGTATAGGGGTTAAAAAAATAACTCCTAAACCTCATAGAAATGTTAAATAAAATAAATACACAAATAAAAATAATCATAAATAATACGTAATAACCCCTAAAAACTTAACCCCCAACCCTTAAAAAATATAAATAAAAAGCACCCTAATAATAAAAATCAATGTATTATTAGCAATAATAATGGTTTTTTTTTTTTTTTAGGGTGTTAATGTATTATTATTATTACCCTTACAAATTGTTATTGCTAATAAATACATTATTAATAATTATTATGGTGTTAATAATAATAAACAGGTTAATTACACGACCTCAGCCTGTAGTGTGAGAAATGCCACTTCCTGTGAAGAAACTACATCTCCCACAATCCGCGGAACTGCCACTTCCTGTGAAGAAAAACTACATCTCCCACAATCCCCGGAACTGCCACTTCCTGTGAAGAAACTACATCTCCCACAATCCCCGGCTCTGTCAGGCCGGTGCTGTGCGGGTGGGAGCTACACGGTGTGACACCGACACAGGCAGGCGGAGCGATTCCCACACAGATCGACACACAAACTGGAAGACGTTCCTTTCTTCATTAAGAAAAGATACTTTGTGGCATTTTACATTTTCAAACAGATATTTAAAATAAATAAAGTGGCACATCGAAGTCTCGGCAATCCCGATCACTAAACTCGATTATCGGCTCCAACATTTCTAATATCATTTCCAAAGTTGTCTTCAATCTTTCTAAATCTTCAGCTTTCATTATAATCACTGCCGGTGATCCCGCCATGAAGGTTTTCTGTTCTGGCACTTCCTGTTTTAGGGTGACAGCGCTCTGTTCTTGTCTCCCAATGGTGTTTCTCTGTTGTCACGCCGTCACGTGTTCATGCAGTTTGCCAAACCATTCCTCTGACGGAGTACCATTGATTCTATGAATGTCCCTTATATTGAAGGTCAGTGAAAAGAATGCTCCTTACATTGGGGGTCAGTGGGAAGAATGTCCCTTACATTGGGGGTCAGTGGGAAGAATGTCCCTTACATTGGGGGTCAGTGGGAAGAATGTCCCTTACATTGGGGGTCAGTGGGAAGAATGTCCCTTACATTGGTGGTCAGTGGGAAGAATGTCCCTTACATTGGGGGTCAGTGGGAAGAATGTCCCTTACATTGGGGTCAGTGGGAAGAATGTCCCTTACATTGGGGGTCAGTGGGAAGAATGTCCCTTACATTGGGGGTCAGTGGGAAGAATGTCCCTTACATTGGTGGTCAGTGGGAAGAATGTCCCTTACATTGGTGGTCAGTGGGAAGAATGTCCCTCACATTGGTGATCAGTGGGAAGAATGTTCCCTACATTGGGGGTCTGTGGGAAGAATGTTCCCTACATGGGGGGTCAGTGTGAAGAATGTCTCTTACATTGGTGGTCAGTGGGAAGAATGTCCCTTACATTGGTGGTCAGTGGGAAGAATGTCCCTTACATTGGTGGTCAGTGGGAAGAATGTCCCTTACATTGGTGGTCAGTGGGAAGAATGTCCCTTACATTGGGGGTCAGTGGGAAGAATGTCCCTTACATTGGTGGTCAGTGGGAAGAATGTCCCTTACATTGGGGGTCAGTGGGAAGAATGTCCCTTACATTGGTGGTCAGTGGGAGGAATGTCCCTTACATTGGGGGTCAGTGGGAAGAATGTCCCTTACATTGGGGGTCAGTGGGAAGAATGTCCCTTACATTTGGGGTCAGTGGGAAGAATGTCCCTTACATTGGGGGTCAGTGGGAAGAATGTCCCTTACATTGGTGGTGGTCTGTGGGAAGAACGTCCCTGACATTGGGGATCGGTGGGAAGAATGTCCCTTACATTGGTAGTCAGTGGGAAGAATGTCCCTGACATTGGGGATCGGTGGGAAGAATGTCCCTTACATTGGTGGTCTGTGGGAAAAATAACGTCCCTGACATTGGTGGTCGTTGGGAAGAACGTCCCTGACATTGGTGGTCGGTGGGAAAAACGTCCCTTACATTGGTGGTCGGTGGGAAGAATGTCCCTTACATTGGTGGTCAGTGGGAAGAATGTCCCCTACATTGGTGGTCGGTGGGAAAAATGTCCCTTACATTGGTGGTCGGTGGGAAGAATGTCCCTTACATTGGTAGTCAGTGGGAAGAATTCCTCTTACATTGGGGTCGGTGGGAAGAATGTCCCTTACATTGGGGGTCGGTGGGAAGAATGTCCTTTACATTGAAGGTCGGTGGGAAGAATGTCTCTTACATTGGTGGTCGGTGGGAAGAATGTCCCTTACATTGGTGGGGTGGGAAGAATGTCCCTTAGATTGGGGGTCGGTGGGAAGAATGTCCGTTACATTGGTGGTCAGTAGGAAGAACGTCCCTTACATTGGTGGTCAGTAGGAAGAACGTCCCTTACATTGGTGGTCGGTAGGAAGAACGTCCCTTACATTGGTGATCAGTGGGAAGAACGTCCCTTACATTGGGGGTCAGTGGGAAGAATGTCCCTTACATTGGTGGTCAGTGGGAAGAATGTCCCTTACATTGGGGGTCAGTGGGAAGAATGTCCCTTACATTGGGGGTCAGTGGGAAGAATGTCCCTTACATTGGTGGTCAGTGGGAAGAATGTCCCTTACATTGGGGGTCAGTGGGAAAGATGTTCCCAGGGGAATCTTGGGGTTCAACATAACCCTGCTGGAGAAGGGTTGCTCTACCCTTTCCTCTGATTGGATCTTGTTTTGGATACATTTAGTATGACTCTTATCTCCTCCGTCATCATTGGCCGTTGCTTTGTACATAGGAGAAGAAGGTGCTCTATAAATGCATAGTTTGAGGTGTCCAGTGAGTGTTCTTTGCTTCTACGACTCCACAGAGCGGTGGCTGTATTTGCGGACGGCGATATATTTTTATTTCCCCGCTCTCTGCGATAAGCGGAATAAGTATCTCCCGTCACAAATGCCGCCTTTTCAATTCAGCCCAGAAATGGGAACTTAATGGAATTGCGCCATTACTTAGAGGAAGCTTAATAGACCAGAAAGCCTTTTAATTTAAAGTTGTCGCTGTAATTTGTTATGCTTCTTAGCATTCAAAAGGGAAACATAAAAGGGAGTCGGGAGATTTCCATGAAGACAGATTACGCCGTTTGCCCGGGAAAGACTGGTAACCCTTTAAGTCGCGGTTAGGTTGAGTCGCAGTACACCCGGCTGGAAGCGCGTGCTGTTACCTCGCGGCGTTTCCGTTTTTATTGTCCTCGGTTCCACTCGCCTGAACTTTATTAGAAATTTAAATTTACAAAGTGGAGCTTGTTTACTGCGCCCATTACCTAAGCCTCAAGTGAAACCGCGGCGGGATTTTTATAGCTTTTGTTCTTTTGTTTGGTTTTAAATACATGTGTGAAAGGAGAGCTTTATTCACAAGATTCATGGATGGCCCTAAAAAATATATCCACACGCTTTTATATATGATGTATGTGCATGGATCTACAGCGGGGAAAATTAATGATTTGATCCCCGGCAGAATTCGTAGGTTTGTCCACAAAGAAATGAAGGGTCTATAATTGTTATCATCGGTGTATTTTAAATGATAGAGACAGAATATCAACCTAAAATCCAGAAGAAACACGATACAAATGTTATAAATGGAGGTGCAGTTCAGTGAGTATAATAAGTATTTGATCCCCAAGCAAAATATGACTGGTTACTTGGTGGCGGAACCCTTGTTGGTGAGCACAGAGGTGACACGTATCCTGTGGTTGGTGGAGGAACCCTTGTTGGTGAGCACAGAGGTGACACGTATCCTGTGGTTGGTGGAGGAACCCTTGTTAGCGAGCACAGAGGTGAGACGTTCCTTGTAGTTGGTGGAGGAATCCTTGTTGGGGAGCACAGTGGTGAGACGTTCCTTGTAGTTGGTGGAGGAACCCTTGTTGGCGAGCACAGAGGTGAGACGTTTCCTTGTAGTTGGTGGAGGAACCCTTGTTGGTGAGCACAGAGGTGAGACGGTTTGTTGGCGAGCACAGAGGTGAGAAGTGTAGTAGTTGGTGAGACAGAGGTGAGACCCTTGTTGGTGAGCACACAGAGGTGAGACGTTCCTTGTAGTTGGTGGAGGAACCCTTGTTGGTGAGCACAGAGGTGAGACGTTTCCTGTACTTGGTGGAGGAACCCTTGTTGGCGAGCACAGAGGTGAGACATTTCCTGTACTTGTTGGAGGAACCCTTGTTGGGCGAGCACAGAGGTGAGATGTTTCCTGTACTTAATGGAGGAACCCTTGTTGGCGAGCACAGAGGTGAGACGTTTCCTGTACTTGGGAGGAACCCTTGTTGGTGAGCACAGAGGTGAGACATTTCCTGTACTTGGTGGAGGAACCCTTGTTGGCGAGCACAGAGGTGAGACGCTCCTTGTAGTTGGTGGAGGAACCCTTGTTGGCGAGCACAGAGGTGAGACGTTCCTTGTAGTTGGTGGAGGAACCCTTGTTGGCGAGCACAGAGGTGAGACGTTTCCTGTACTTGGTGGAGGAACCCTTGTTGGTGAGCACAGAAAAGAGACATTTCCTGTACTTGGTGAAGGAACCCTTGTTGGCGAGCACAGAGGTGAGACGTTCCTTGTAGTTAGTGGAGGAACCCTTGTTGGTGAGCACAGAGGTGAGAGACGTTTCCTGTACTTAGTGGAGGAACCCTTGTTATTGAGCACAGAGGTGAGACGTATCCTGTAGTTGGTGGAGGAACCCTTGTTGGCGAGCACAGAGGTCAGACGTTTCTTGTACTTGGTGGAGGAACCCTTGTTGGCGAGCACAGAGGTGAGACGGTTCCTGTACTTGGTGGAGGAACCCTTGTTGGCGAGCACAGAGGTGAGACGTTTCCTGTACTTGGTGGAGGAACCATTGTTGGCGAGCACAGAGGTGAGATGTTTCCTGTGACTTAATGGAGGAACCCTTGTTGGCGAGCACAGAGGTGAGACGTTTCCTGTACTTGATGGAGGAACCCTTGTTGGCAAGCACAGAGGTGAGACGTTTCCTGTACTTGGAGGAACCCTTTTTTGCAAGCACAGAGGTGAGACGTTTCCTGTACTTGATGGAGGAACCCTTGTGGCAAACACAGAGGTGAGACGTTTCTTGTAGTTGGTGGAGGAACCCTTGTTGGCGAGCACAGAGGTGAGACGGTTCCTGTACTAAATGGAGGAACCCTTGTTGGCGAGCACAGAGGTGAGACTTTTCTTGTACTTGGTGGAGGAACCATTGTTGGCGAGCACAGAGGTGAGACGTTTCCTGTACTTGATGGAGGAACCTTTGTTGGCAAACACAGAGGTGAGACGTTTCTTGTACTTGGTGGAGGAACCATTTGTTGGCGAGCACAGAGGTGAGATGTTTCCTGTAACCCTTGGTGGAGGAACCCTTGTTGGAGGAGTCCTTGTTGGTGAGCACAGAGGTGAGACGTTTCCTGTACTTGGTGGAGGAACCCTTGTTGGCGAGCACAGAGGTCAGACATTCCTTTTAGTTGGCTCCAAGGTTTGCAGACATCTCAGGAGGCATTTATGGTCCACTCTTCTTTATAGATCTTCTCTAAAACCTTAAGGTTTCTTGGCTGTCGCTTGGCAACTCGAAGTTTCATTTCTCTCCGTAAATTTTTCTATAGGATTAAGGTCGGGAGACTGGCTAGGCCACTCCATGATCTCAATGTGCTTCTTGAGCCACTCCTTTGTTGCCTTGGTTGTATGTTTTGGGTCATTGTCCTGCTGGAAGACCCATCCATGACCCATCTTCCATGTTCTGGCTGAGGGAAGAAGGTTCTTATCCAAGATTTTACAATACATGGCCCCGTCCATTGGCCTCTCAATGTGGTAAAGTCAGCCTGTACCTTTAGCAGAGAAACAGCCCCAAAGCAGAATGTTTCCACCTCTTCGCTTGACTGTAGGGATGGTGTGCTTATGGTCATAGTCAGCATTTTTCTTCCTTCAAACACGGTGAGTTGAGTTAATGCCAAAGAGCTCAATTTTGGTCTCGTGACCACAGCACTTTCTCCCAATCCTTCTCAGAGTCATTTAGATGTCCACTGGCAAACTTCAGACGGGCCTGGACATGTGCCTTCTTGAGGAGGCGGACCTTGCAGGTGCTGCAGGATTTCAGTTCATGGTGGCGTGTTGTGTTACCAATGGTTTGTTTGGTGACTGTGGCCCCAACTGCCTTGAGATCATTCACAAGCTCCTCCCGTGTAGTTCTGGGCTGATCCCTCACTTTTCTCATGATCATCCTTACCCCTCGAGGTGAAACCTTGCATGGAGCTCCAGACAGAGGGGGGCAATTGATGGTATTTTGTATTTCTTGTCAGTTGTCTCCTTCTCACCAAGCTTCTGGCTGATGTCTTGTAGCCCATTTCAGCCTTGTGCAGGTCTACAGTCTGGTCCCTGATGTCCTTTGACAGCTCTTTGGTCTTGCCCATGGTGGTGATGGGGTTTGAATGGAAGAAAGAGATTCTGTGGTCAGGTGTCTTTTATACACAAGTTGTCGTTAGGAGAACCTTCTTCCATTGACAGCACTGATCTGTGTACCACATGAGCACAGAGCCAGTCTGTGGGAGCCAGAATCATTGTTGGTTGGTGGGGGATCAAATACTTATTATACTCACCGAACTGCAACTCCATTTATAACATTTGTATTGTATCGTGTGTTTTTCAGTCTGACCACTGGGGGAGGGGAGACTGAGGAAATGCCTCCTCCTACAAAGGTACAATGTACAGTCTGATCACTGGGGGAGGGAAGACTGAGGAAATGCCTCCTCCTCCTCCTCCTACAAAGGTACAATGTACAGTCTGATCACTGGAAGAGGGAGACTGAGGAAATGCCCTCCTCCTCCTACAAAGGTACAATGTACAGTCTGATCACTGGGGGAGGGAGAACTGAGGAAATGCCTCCTCCTACAAAGGTACAATGTACAGTCTGATCACTGGGGGAGGGAGAACTGAGGAAATGCCTCCTCCTACAAAGGTACAATGTACAGTCTGTAGAAGGAGGGGGAGGAGGCATTTTCTCAGTCTCCACACCCCCAGCGATCAGACTGTACATTGTGGCTTTGTAGGAGGAGGAGGAGGACTGAGCATTTCCTAAGTCTCCCCTCTTCCAGTAATCAGACTGTACATGTGTAACTTTGTAGGAGGAGGCATTTTTCAGTCTTCCCTCCCCCAGTGATCAGACTGTACATTGTAACTTTGTAGAAGGAGGAGGAAGCATTTCCCTAGTCTCCCCTCCCCTAGTGATCAAAGTTACAATGCACAGTCTGATCACATGGGGGAGGGTAGACTGAGGAATTTCCTCCTCCTCCTCCCTACAAAGTTGCAATGTACAGTCTGATCACTGGGGGACTGAGAAATGCCTCCTCCTCCTTCTACAAAGTTACAATGTACAGTCTGATCACTGGGGGAGGGACTGAGGAAATGCCTCCTCCTCCTTGTACAAAGTTACAATGTACAGTCTGATCACTGGGGGAGGGACTGAGGAAATGCCTCCTCCTCCTTCTACAAAGGTACAATGTACAGTCTGATCACTCTGAGGAAATGCCTCCTCCTCCTTCTACAAAGTTACAATGTACAGTCTGATCACTGGGGGAGGGGAGACTGAGGAAATGACCTCCTCCTCCTTCTACAAAGTTACAATGTACAGTCTGATCACTGGGGGAGGGGAGACTGAGGAAATGACTCCTCCTCCTTCTACAAAGTTACAATGTACAGTCTGATCACTGGGGGAGGGACTGAGGAAATGCCTCCTCCTCCTACAAAGTTACAATGTACAGTCTGATCACTGGGGGAGGGGAGACTGAGGAAATGCTTCCTCCTCCTTCTACAAAGTTACAATGTACAGTCTGATCACTGGGGGAGGGGAGTCTGAGGAAATGCTTCCTCCTCCTTCTACAAAGTTACAATGTACAGTCTGATCACTGGGGGAGGGGGAGACTGAGGAAATGCTTCCTCCTCCTACAAAGTTACAATGTACAGTCTGATCACTGGGGGAGGGGAGACTGAGGAAATGCTTCCTCCTCCTTCTACAAAGTTACAATGTACAGTCTGATCACTGCTCTATCAAAGCTGCGTCTTGTTGACTTTCAGCTGTTTTTGATGTGTTTGCAGAGATCTCTCGTCACATTTTCTGAGGGTTCACAGCGACATTAATATGCAGTAAATGAGCTCCTGGCAGCTGCAGCGTCCCGGGGGTTAATCTCGATTGTTTGTGCTCTCCATCTCGGCAATCAGCGCGGCGCGGCTTCCATCGTGTCTGCGGCAATTTAACTTTAATTACTGGGAGACCGCGGCGGAGGAAGCGGCAATCACCAGCAACACTCAGCGCTGCGCCGCTGCCATGGCGGGGAACCAAAACGCGGCGGAAATTCCGGATGAAGGACCCTCTGCAATATTCCAGGATTTATAGGGAAACCAACGCGCGTTCCCAGGGAGGGAGCATTCCAATCACATCGCTGGATACCCAACCCCTCCCCCTCCAGAGGATCCCCCCCCCCCCCTTCTGATCGGGCCATTTTTTTGCGATACAGCGCTGCGTTGCATAAACTGACGATTGCGCGGTCATGCAACACTTTACATAAATGAATTTACTTCCTTTTTTCCCACCAATAGAGCGTTCTTGATCACCTGTTCCTTTTGTTCTTTTTTGCGCCATAAACAAAAAAAAGACCAACAATTTATAAAACTTTTGACTTTTTGCCGTAAAACATATTCAGTAAAAAATTAAAAAAATTAAATTTCATCATAAATCAAAATGTCTCGCGCTCCGTGTCTTCACTACAAAAAAATCCCGATACGTGGAAACGAATCGGTTTACGTGAAAGGTATAGCGTCTACCAATGGCGGTATAGATACGGGGATTTTAATTTTTTTCATCTGCTAGTAATGGCGGCGATCAGCGACTTATAGCGGGACTGCGGCGGGCATTCTGACACTGGGGGAGGGGAACTGACTTGGTGTCACTGACATCCCCAGTGACACCAATACAGTGATCGGTAACACAGCGCTGAGCAAACTGCTGGCGCTATATAAATACTGTGTAATAATAATCAGTGCTAATGCAAAGCACTGACACCATACTAATGGCACTGGGCAGGAAGGGGTTAACATGTGGGGGTGATCAAAGGGTTAACTGTGTGCTGCTAGGGAGACATGGTGTGCAGAGAGATACAAAGCAGCATGTCCTTGCTGACGGGAGAGATCTGTATTGTTTACATACAGACTTCTCCTCTGTCAGTGTTCCTCAGCAATTGCCGGGTGCCAGCAGGGAATCTCCGACCTGGACCTGGTGATTGACATCTGTAGCTACCAATGGCGGTGCCTCCAACCCAGAAATGCAAATCACGTGTGTGTGTATATATATGTACGTATATGAATGTGTGGCGGCCCTGCTGCTGTGTACCAGTAGTTCTACTATAGGGCGGCGGACAAGCGGTTATAGGGTACGGTATGTCACCCCAACATTTCCTGTTCCTGATCTGTGCCGGCTGTACCGTGTACTTGTATGAAGAAGTCTCCTCTTCTCTCTGTATTGCTTTCTTTGTGTGAAATCCCCGGAGTTCCTGCCAGTCCCTCTGCTTTTCTACTAAAAACTGACAACACTAGGCATGAGAGCACATCCAATCCAGCGTGGTCAGCAGATTTGCTGGGACAGTCATGCCTTTTACAACACTATACTGGGACTGCCGTGTCCCGGGCAACGTCATGGAGCTTATACTGTGCCCTCCTGACCCCCCCCCCCTGTACTGTGCCCTCCTGATCCCCCTGCACTGTGCCCTCCTGACCCCCCTGCACTGTGCCCTCCTGATCCCCCTGCACTGTGCCCTCCTGAACCCCCTGTACTGTGCCCTCCTGAACCCCCTGTACTGTGCCCTCCTGACTCCCCCCCTGTACTCTGCCCTCCTGATCCCCCTGTACTGTGCCCTCCTAACCCCCCTGTACTGTGCCCTCCTAACCCCCCCCCCTGTACTGTGCCCTCCTGAACCCCCTGTACTGTGCCCTCCTGAACCCCCTGTACTGTGCCCTCCTGACCCCCCTGCACTGTGCCCTCCTGAACCCCCTGTACTGTGCCCTCCTGACCCCCCTGTACTGTGCCCTCCTGCTTCCCCTGTACTGTGCCCTCCTGCCTCTCCTGTACTGTGCCCTCCTGATCCCCCTGTACTGTCCCCTCCTGGCTCCACCCCCCCCCCCCCCCTGTACTGTGCCCTCCTGATCCCCCTGTACTATGTCCTCCTCACTCCCCCCCTGTACTCTGCCCTCCTGATCCTCCTGTACTGTGCCCTCCTGATCCCCCTGTACTGTGCCCTCCTGACCCCCCTGTACTGTGCCCTCCTGCCCCCCCCCCCCCATACTGTGCCCTCCTGATATCCCTGTACTGTGCCCTCCTGATCCCCCTGTACTGTACCCTCCTGCCGCCCCCTTGTACTGTGCCCTCCTGCCTCTCCCCTGTACTGGGCCCTCCTGATATTCTCCCCCTGTACTGTGCCCTCCTACCTCCCCCTGTACTGTGCCCTCCTGATCCCCCCCCCATACAGTGCCCCCCAGATCCCCCTGTACTGTGTCCTCCTGATCCCCCTGTACTGTGCTCTCCTGACTCCCCCCTGTACTGTGTCCTCCTGATCCCCCCCCTGTACTGTGTCCTCCTGATCCCCCTGTACTGTGCTCTCCTGACTCCCCCTGTAATGTGTCCTCCTGATCCCCCCCCCGTACTGTGTCCTCCTGATCCCACCCCCCCCGTACTGTGTCCTCCTGATCCCCCCCCGTACTGTGTCCTCCTGATCCCCCTGTACTGTGCTCTCCTGACTCCCCCTGTACTGTGCTCTCCTGACTCCCCCTGTAATGTGTCCTCCTGATCCCCCCCCCCGTACTGTGTCCTCCTGATCCCACCCCCCCCCCCCCCCGTACTGTGTCCTCCTGATCCCCCCCCGTACTGTGTCCTCCTGATCCCCCTGTACTGTGCCCTCCTGATCCCCCCCCCATACAGTGCCCCCCAGATCCCCCTGTACTGTGTCCTCCTGATCCCCCCCCTGTACTATGTCCTCCTGACTCCTCCTGTACTGTGTCCTCCTGATCCCCCCCCCCTGTACTGTGTCCTCCTGACTCCTCCTGTACTGTGTCCTCCTGATCCCCCCCCTGTACTGTGTCCTCCTGATCCCCCCCCTGTACTGTGTCCTCCTGACTCCCCTGTACTGTGTCCTCCTGATCCCCCCCCCCTGTACTGTGTCCTCCTGATCCCCCTGTACTGTGTCCTCCTGACTGCTGCCCTGTACTGTGTCCTCCTGACTCCCCCTGTACTGTGCCCTCCTGATCCCCCCCCTGTACTGTGTCCTCCTGACTCCCCCTGTACTGTGCCCTCCTGACTCCCCCTGTACTTTTGCAGAAAAAAAAAAAAATTTTTTGTATATTGATTAAATAAAAAAATGTCATTTGTTATGAATAATGGTGTGCCTCAGAAGTCCCGTTCTGCTACATTTTTGTGCATTTATATAGTTCTTATTGTTTTATGATCTATTAGGATTTGTTCTGAATATGATGGTTTTTCACCAACGCGTTTCTTGGCACGGAGCCCACTTTTCCAGGGATGCACAAGCAGCACAGACCACAGGGACAACCATAAACAGGTCCACGTGCAAAATCACCTCTATCATTTGATATAGGACCATAAGGCAAAAACGACCCCCCCCCCTCCTCAATGAGGATACATCAAGATGGGGGAGACAGAGGGAGACCAAGGAGAGCGATAAGGTCCACAGCAGGAGACCTGCCCACCCCCCATCTGCCACCATCTGCCTGATATACGGATTCATTTGTGCATTTTATAAATATCCGTTGTGTCTTTATGATGAATATTCTACGCGGAGCAAAGCAAACGTCACCCCCGTTAGGGTTTGCATCGACTTTAAAGTCGTCTCAGTGAGTTGCCGGTCACAGATGCAGCGTGCCCACGGGAATCCTCCTCTCGTTAAGAACAGACCGATGTCTGCGCATCTCGCCCACTGACACATGTTGTTTAGACCGAGATGGGAGGAAAAAAAAACGCAGATTATTATTTGGAAGAGACAGAATGTTAACTAATAAAGAGGCTGCGAGGAAAGTTGTATCTGGAGGAGGGAAGACATACACTTTAAATCTTCGTACATTTAGTGAATGGCCCGCGGGTGTCACCCTCTTACATACCCGGCCTTCCTATGGTTCATATTATATTGGTCATGTGGATTCCACAGCTAGCATGGAATAGTTACTGTATGGCCAAAAGTAACAAAATAACGAAAAGGAGAAGAAAGCGAATGAAATATTACTGAGCCAATGTGCAGCAGATGTGTGGATCATGTCAATGTGGGCTGAAATCTGGCCGTGACGGATTATACAATCTCTTTGACATTTACCGATGTGGTGCGATTGGGAATGGAAACAATCCAGTCGGTTTGTATTCAGTCAGGCTGGTTCTTGCAGTAAATGGTTGTTGGGAAATCTAGAGAAGATTGTAACATACATTATATTGTCAAAGGTATTGGCCCCGTCCTCCCAATCATGTGATTCAGGTGTTCCAATCCCCCTCATATCATGTGATTCAGTGTTTCCAATCCCCCTCATATCATGTGATTCAGGTGTTCCAATCCCCTCCCAATCATGTGATTCAGGTGTTCCAATCCCCTCCCAATCATGTGATTCAGGTTATCCAATCCCCTCCCAATCATGTGATTCAGGTGTTCCAATCCCCTCCCAATCATGTGATTCAGGTGTTCCAATCCCCTCCCATCATGTCTCCCAATCATGTGATTCAGGTGTCCAATCCCCCTCATATCATGTGATTCAGGTGTTCCAATTCCCTCCCAATCATGTGATTTGGGTGTTCCAATCCCCCCTCAAATCATGTGATTAAGGTGTTCCAATCCCCTCCATATCATGTGATTCAGGTGTTCCAATCCACTCCATATCATGTGATTCAGGTGTTCCAATCCCCTCCATATCATGTGATTCAGGTGTTCCAATCCCCTCCATATCATGTGATTCAGGTGCTTCCAATCCCCCTCCATGGGCACAGGTGTATACAATCAAGCCCCTAGGCATGCAGACGGCTTCTACAAACATTGGTGAAAGAATGGGTCGCTCTCAGGAGCTCAGTGACTCCAAGCGTGGGTCCCGTGATAGGTGGCCACCTGGGCAATAAGTCCATCCGTGACATTTCCTGGCTACTAAATATTCCACGCTCAACTGTTAGTGGGATTATAACAAAGTGGAAGCAACTGGAACAACAGCCACTCAGCCACCAAGTGGTAGGCCACATCACATGACAGGGCGGGGTCAGCGCATGCTGAAGCGCACAGTGCGCAGAAGTCGCCAACTGTCCTGCAGAGTCAATAGCTAAAGACCGCCAAACTTGGTGTGGCCTTCAGATGAGCCCAACAACAGTGCATAGAGAGCTTCATGGAATGGGTTTCCATGGCCGAGCAGCTGCATCCAAGCCTTCCATCACCAAGTGCAATGCAAAGCGTCAGATGCTGTGGTGTTAAAGCACGCCGCCACTGGACTCTAGAGCAGCAGAGACGTGTTCTCTGGAGTGACCAATCACGCTTCTCTGTCTGGCAATCCGATGGGCGTGTCTGGGTTTGGCGGTGGCCAGGAAAATGGTACTTGCCTGACTGCATTGTGCCAAGTGTAAAGTTTGGTGGAGGGGGGGTTATGGTGTGGGGTTGTTTTTCAGGGGTTGGGCTTGGCCCCCTAGTTCCAGTGAAGGGAACTCTTAAGGCCACATTTTGGACAATTTCATGCTCCCAACTTTGTGGAAAGTTTGGGGGATGCCCCCTTCCTTTCCAACATGACTGCCACCAGTGCACAAAGCAAGGTCCATAAAGACATGGAGGAGCCAGTTTGGGGTGGAGGAACTTGACTGTCCTGCACAGAGTCCTGACCTCAACCCCATAGAACACCTTTGGGATGAATTAGAGCGGAGACTGCGAGCCAGGCCTCCTCCCCCGACATCAGTGCCTGACCTGACAAAATGTGCTTCTGGAAGAATGGTCCAACCTTCCCATAGACACCTCTCTAAAACCTTGTGGACGGGCCTTCCCATAAGAGAAAGCTGTTTTATAGCTGCAAAGGGCGGGGCCAACTCAATATTGAACCCTCCGGACTAAACTGGGGGGCCATTATAGGTCATGTGCGTGGGAAGGACGGGGGCCACCTCAATATTGAACCCAATGGACTAAGACTGGGGGGCCATTAAAGGTCATGTGTTTTGAAAGGGCGGGGCAACTGAACCCTACGGACTAAGACTGGGGGGGCCATTAAAGGTCGTGTGTGTGGACAAGGGCGGGGGCCAACTATATTGAAACCCTACGGACTAAGACTGGGGGGCCATTAAAGGTCATGTGTGTGGAAAAGGGCGGGTCCAACTCAATATTGAACCCTATGGACTAAGACTGGGGGGGCCATTAAAGGTCATGTGTGTGAAAGGGCAGGGCCAACTCAATATTGAACCCTACGGACTAAGACTGGGGGGCCATTAAAGGTCATGTGTGTGGGAAAGGCGGGGCCAACTCAATATTGAACCCTACAGACTAAGACTGGGGGGGCCATTAAAGGTCATGTGTGTGGAAAGGGCGGGGCCAACTCAATATTGAACCCTACAGACTAAGACTGGGGGGCCATTAAAAGTCATGTGCGGGGAAAGGCGTAAGTAATGCAGCAGTCAGGTCAGGTCAGGTCTTGCTCAGGTTCAGGGTAATGAGTGCAGCTGCAGCATGTCTGACATCTACTCTCCCTCTTCCTCCGGCTTAGTGGCTCACTGGTTGTGCCTGGTTCCCCCCCCAACATGAAATCCCAGCACATCACCCTACCCCTTCTCTTTCCTGATCAAACATCACAATATGTTGTGGGCATCCATACCCAGGGTCTTCTTAATAGCATCATGGGCCCCTGGGCAAAGTAATGCACTGGGGCCCCTACCAGCCTCCTGCCCCAATTTACGCCCCTCCTCTCAAGAATTAAAATATAAATAGTGGGGAGAATGAAAACATATTATATAGTACTTTACTAAAATCAATCTTAAACAATAAGAAAACATGCTATAAATCAAACACTAATCAACACAAAGGATGCAGGGGAGGGGGGGGGGGGGGGGAGTCAGAAGGGCTCAGTACGGGGAGGAGGCAGAGGGGCGCAGTATAGGAGGAGGCAGAGGGCGCAGTATAGGGGGAGGCGGAGGGGCGCAGTATAGGGGGAGGCAGAAGGGCGCAGTACGGGGAGGAGGCAGAAGTGCTCAGTACAGGGGGGGGAGCACAGGGGGGAGAGAGGGCTCAGTATGGGGAGGGGAGGCAGGAGGGCTCAGTATGGGGGGGGAGGGCAGAAGGGCTCAGTATGGGGGAGAGGCAGAAGGGCTCAGTATGGGGAGGAGGCAGAAGGGCTCAGTATGGGAAGGAGACAGAAGGGCTCAGTATGGGGGGAGGCAGAAGGGCATAGTGTTGGGGGAGGCAGAAGGGCACAGTACAGAGGGAGGCAGAAGGGCACAGTATGGGGAGGAGGAGGCAGAAGGGCTCAGTATGGGGAGGAGGAGGCAGAAGGGCTCAGTATGGGGAGGAGGAGGCAGAAAGGGCTCAGTACAAGGAGGAGTAAGGAGGGCGCAGTACGAGGAGGAGGCAGAGGGGCGCAGTATAGGGGGAGGCAGAAGGGCGCAGTATAGGAGGAGGCAGAAGGGTGCAGTATGGGGAGGAGGCAGAAGGGCTCAGTATGGGGGGGGGGGGAGGCAGAGGGGCTCAGTATACGGGGAGGAGGCAGAAGGGCGCAGTATAGGAGGAGGCAGAAGGGCGTAGTAGTATGGGAGGAGGCAGAAGGGAACAGTACAGGGGGATCAGGCGGGCACAATACTGAAATCGTGACTGTCCCAGCAAATCTGGAACAGTTGGCAAGTATGATGTAATGGAAAATTATCATGGGGCCCCCATGCACTTGGGGCCCCTGGTTACTGCCCAGAGGTGCCCATGCATTAAGACAGCCCTGTCCATGGCATCATGGCACCCAGCAGCATAGAGTAATCCCAGCAGTGCACAGGCTGTGGTCAAGCGTCACTCCAACACAGCGCGGCTGGAATCTCCTGCGCATGCGCGGGCAATGCAGATTGTCCCACTATCTTCAATGGACATTTGCGCCGGGTGACTGTTGAATTGGCATCAGCACAGTGCAAGGTTTGCTCCACACTGCTGGGCTCCTGGAGACAATGCCGGGGGTGCCTGTTTCTCCAGAACTGACCCCGCCACAACGGTGACTGTCCCCAGGAAGTGGGGAGAAATAGTAATCTTCGACTAACGTGATTGGCTGATGGCTCACATCACTTTTCCTGATGTCTCCACTCTTTGTGACGAGTTATGAAGTCAGATTTTCCTCGGATCCTCATGGAGTCCCAATGGCAGCACAGGGGGAGGGCGGGGGACCTCTTCTTCTTCCTCTCTCCTGATGGCGGTGTTGGAGACGGTTGGAATGGAGTCACCCGCGCCGCCAACCCCCCGCCCACTAATAAACGTAAATTGCTGCAAAGACGAATACGTTCTAAGTCTGAAGGTGAACCATTAATTATCCGGCTAATCCTCATCTTGTGGTCCAGAAGCTCATTATCGGTTTATCTCATTAACGATGGATTTATCCGGGGCGATATTCATTTCTCTAAGTCGAACGATTAGTGTAAGTAGGTGAGCGCTACGAACATCAGAGCCGCCATCAAGACGTCTACGGATAATCTCCTCCTCCGGGACAACATGGAGAATTAAAGAGGAACTCCGGCCACCCATATAAAAGAGATCTATAGTGGGGATGGAAAGTTTGGGCACCCCAGCTAAAAATTTGTATTAATGTGCATAAAGAAGCCAAGGAAAGATGGAAAAATCTCCAAAAGGCATCAAATTACAGATTAGACATTCTTATAATATGTCAACAAAAGTTAGATTTTATTTCCATCATTTACACTTTCAAAATAACAAAAAACAAAAAAATGGCGTCTGCAAAAGTTTGGGCACCCTGCAGAGTTAATATCTTGTACTGCCCCCTTTGGCAAGTATCACGGCTTGTAAACGCTTTTTGTAGCCAGCCAAGAGTCTTTCAATTCTTGTTTGAGGTATCTTTGCCCATTCTTTCCTTACAAAAGTCTTCCAGTTCTTTGAGATTTCTGGGCTGTCTGTCACGCACGGCTCTTTTAAGGTCTATCCATAGATTTTCAATGATGTTGAGGTCAGGAGATTGTGAAGGCCATGGCAAAACCTTCAGTTTACGCCTCTTGATGTAATCCCCCGTGGATTTCCAGGTGTGTTTAGGATCATTATCCATTTGTAGAAGCCATCCTCTCTTTAACTTCAGCTTTTTCACAGATGGCATCAAGTTACCATCCAAAATTTTGCTGAAATTTTATTGAATCCATTTTTCCTTCTACTCATGAGATGTTCCCTGTGCCACTGGCTGCAACACAACCCCAAAGCATGATTGATCCAACCCCATGCTTCACAGTTGGACAGAGGTTCTTTTCATTCAATTCTGTGCCCCTTCTTCTCCAAACGTACCTTTGCTCATTCCGGCCAAAAAGTTCAATTTTAACCTCATCGGCCCACAGAACTTGTTTCCAAAATGCATCAGGCTTGTCTATATGTTCATTTGCAAAGTTCAAACGATGATTTTTGTGGTGAGGACGTAGAAGAGGTTTTCTTCTGATGACTCTTCCATGAAGACCATATTTGTACAAGTATCTCTTTATAGTGGAATAGTGACCACAACTCCAGTGTCTGCCAGATCTTTCTGGAGGGATCGTGCCGTCAAACGTGGGTTTTGAATTGTTTTTCTCACAATCCTGCGAGCTGTTCTGTCTGATATTTTTCTTGGTCTTCCAGATCTTGCTTTAACTTCCACTGTTCCTGATGACTGCCATTTCTTAATTACATTCCGAACAGAGGATATTGACATCTGAAAACGCTTTGCTATCTTCTTATAGCCTTCTCCAGCTTTGTGAGCGTCAACTATTTTCAGTTTCAGTTTTCTAGACAACTGCTTAGAAGAACCCATGGTGCTGATTGTTGGGGTCAGATGAGTCTGGGCATTTAAAAACCTTTGAGATTGACATCACCTGGTCTTCCCAGACGATGA